GCTTAGCGGTTAAGTGCGCGCGCTCCGTTTCTGGCGGCCCGGGTTCGGATCCCAGGCGCGCACCGACGCACCGCTTCTCCAGCCATGCTGAGGCCGCATCCCACATACAGCAACTAGAAGGCTGTGCAACTATGACATACAACTATCTACTGGGGCTTTGGGGGAAAAAAATAAATAAAAAAAAAAATTTAAGAATGAAAAGGCAGCAGAGAGGTAGTTTGTAATGCTGGTGTGTTCAGACTGATTAGTCTAATATTTACTGAATACAAGGAAGGACATGATATTGTAGAAAAACTCTGGGACCAAGTATAATATGACAAAGGAAAAACATATTATGTTTGATGCTGTCTTGGATGTCAAAATCTACCTCATATTCAACCATAATAATTCCACGCCAGTTCTGATGAGTGAGAAAAAAATGTTTTATCTCCACTTTTATTTGAAATGTTAAAAAGTTTGCTTTATATGCGTTTACATGGAACATTACACTGAAAACCAAATTTTTGCCAGTAAAAGAAGATAACATGAATATTCACCTTGAAATTATCTAATGACATATAATTTATACAATATACAATATCAATATATTGACATACAAATAGTATAATATTCATGTGAAATTTAATGAATAATATGTAAACTGGTTCCTACTAGGTTTTTCTGGTAAAATGACATGAGAAGCTTGAGGCACCGGTATAACATCAATCCTACACCGACTCTCTAATAATCATCGTAATTGGCTGAAGCTGAGAGGAACCCTGGGCCGTCAACATTAAGGTACCCGAGAAATTCTCTCACCTCTGCTCTCCTACAGCCTTCCTCTCATCCTCTCTCTTGCCTTTGCTTTTGTACATTTCACTTCTCTGATACTTCCTAATTTCTGCCATCTTCCCTCTCTTTCCTAATGCATTTCTGTTTCAACCCCAATTTTTGTTTTATTCAATCTCCTCTCTTTATGACTTTACCATCTTTTTCCCTTTTAACTTAGGCCTCAAAAGTGAGTGTTTTTTCTGTAACAACAGTCTGCTTAAACATACTCTTGCACCCATTTACAGGCACTGTGCTTGATCTAAACAATCTCACCTGATTGGAAGACTCAACTAAATATATTTAAATTATATTGCTGCTACTTGTAAAAATATTTTTTTCTCTGAGTTAAATATTTGAAGAACTCACTAAACATTTTGGAGTCAATCTTGAAACATCCATAAATCTCAAGGAAATCTAATCTCACACACTCACTGCAATCAATTTGAGACGACACTATTCTAATAAAGAGGTGATTTAGGGTCGTACTACATTGGTGTGAATAAATACTAAGTAACAAACTTTTTACGTCAATAAATTTTAGTGCTGTTTATTCATGTTTGTGTGCAAGCACATATGTACAATATCCTCATTAAAAAGCAAAAACACATTAACCCCCTACTTCTAATATGTATTACATTAAAGTCTGAAAAGAAAAGTGATTTCTCTATTCAGCACTCTCTAATATGAACATTAACATTAATGGTATTAGCATTTTGTGCAATAATCTCATAATAAAATATACACAAACTTTGAGATTTTTAAAAATTACAAATAGATTATATAATACATTTATAATATAATTACCTAAAAAGAGACTAGTAGGTTGAGTATGTTTCCCTTCTCCCTCCAAATCCCTCCCTCCAGGTCCGCCTGGAACCTCAGAATGTGACCTTATTGGGATGGAGGGCTTTGTAGATATAATTAAGGTAAAGATCAATATGAGATCCTACTAGATTAAGGTGGGCCCTAAATCCAATGAGAATGTCCTCACAGGAGACAGAAAAGGACACAGAGAGACAGGGAGAAACAGACAATGTGGAAACAAAGGCAGAGACTGGGAGTTATGCTGCCAGAGCTCAGGAACAACAGGAGCCACCAGAAGCTGGAAGAGGTAAGGAAGGATTCTCCCCTAGAGCCTTTGGAACAAGCATGATCCTGCTGACACCTTGATTTTGGACTTCTGGCTTCCAAAACTGTGACCAAGTAAATTTCTGTTGTTTTAAGCCACCAAGTTTGTGATAAATTGTTATGGAAGTCTTAGGAAATTAATACAGATTCTGGTACCAGGAAATGGGGTGTTGTTGTAACAGATACCTAAAAATAAAAAAAGACTGAAGAGACTGCTGGTAGAAATAGAGATGTTAAGGAGATCCTGGTGAAGTCTCAGAAGGACGTGAACAGGATGGCAGAGAAAACTATCATCTTGGAGAACACATATATCACCAGGAAAAAAATGCTGTAGAAATATGAACATTAACAGGGCTTCCGGTGAAGTCTCAAGAAAGAAATGAGTTACATGTTATTGGATACTGGAGGGAGGACAATCCTCGCTATAAAGTAGCAGAAAACTTGGCTGAAATGTGTTCTACCGTTGGGTGACAAGTAGAACTAGCAAGCAATGAACTTCAATATTTGGCTGAGGAGATTTCCAAGCAAAGTGTTGAAGGCATGTACTGGTTTCTCCTTGTTGCTTATAGTAAAATGTGAGAGAAAAAAAGATAAATTGAGGAAGGAACTGTTAAGCAAAAAGAAATCAGCACCAGATGATTTGAAAAATTCTCAGCCTATCTAGATTGCAAAAGACGCTAACATCACAAATCATTAGGGAAGTACAAATCAAAACCACAATGAGATATTACTTCAAACTCATTAGGATGGCTATTATCCAAAAAACAGAAAACAATAAAAGTTGCTGAGGATGTGGAGAAACTGGAACCCCTGTGCACTGCTGACAGGAATGAAAAATGGTTTAGCACTGTGGAAAACACTCTGGCAGTTCCTCACAAAGTTAAACGTAGAATTACCATATGACCCAGCAACACCTCTCCTAGCTATATACCTAAAGAAACTGAAAGCAGAGACTCTAATACTTCTACGCCAGTGTCCACTGAAGCATTATTCACAATAGGCAAAAGATGGAAACAATCCAAGTGTCTATCAACAGATGTATGGATAAACAAAATGTGCTATATACGTACAATGGAATACTAGCCATGAAAAGAAATGAAGTTCTGATACATGATACAAAATGGATGAACTTTGAAAAACATTATGCTAAGTAAGAAACATATGCAAATGCTAACAAAGAACAAATATTATGATTCCACTTATATGAGGTACCAGGATAGGCAAATTCATAGACAGGACATAGAATAGAGGTTACCAGAGGCTGAGGTGACAGGAATGGGCCTTATTGCTCAATGGGTAAAGAGTTTCTCTTTGGGATGATGAAAAAGTTCTAGAAATAGATAGTGGCAATGTTTACACGATATCATAAATACACCTAATATCACTGAATTATACACTTAAAAATGATTAAAATGGTAAATTTTATGTTATGTGTACTTTATCACAAAAAGATTTTTTTTTTTTTACCAAAAAAGGGTCCAAGACCTTGAGCCAGCTGAGAGGGTTGACATAACTACTTCAATTAGAGAATCAAGACTGGGCTACTGATAAGCTCTTAAGTGAACATATTCCAATGCTCAGTGAGGGAAAATGACCATCACATATAACAGTAATTCATCAACTCCACTCAGTTCATTTAGCACATGTTAATAGAAAAAGGAAACATGATTTGATTTTTCAAAAAAATTTAACCTTAGAATACCAAACAGACTACAAAATCATTTTCAAATCTTTGATTCTGAGGAATGACAAAATTATGATACAAAATGGCCTCTTTTTTTTAACCTTTCATTTTGGGGAATGACAAAATACAAAAAGTAAAAACATGACATTAAAATTCTAAAGATTTTTTTTTTTTGGTGAGGAAGATTGGCCCAGAGCTAACATCTGTGCCAGTCTTTCTCCATTTTGTATGTGATGCTGCCACGGCATGGCTTGAGGAGCGGTGAGTAGGTCTGCACCTGGGATCCGAATCTGCAAACCCCAGGCCACCAAAGCGGAGTGCGCAAACTTAACCACCATGCCACCGGGCTGGCCCTTCTAAAGATTTTTAAAAGCAAATATTTGTTTCAGTGCTAGACAATCCTGATAAAAAGTACCTCTTTAATCTGAATTTAAATTGAAATTTCCATGCTTTGCAGAAACTAAGGGGTCTAATTTCTCTTTCACAAGATTAGAACAGGTCTTATGAAAGTCAGAACCATTCACCTCTAGGTTAAATATATCCCTCTTACTACACCAGTTGTTTCATATCACGTTTTTTCACCATCCTAGTCATCCTGCAAGGGTGTTTTCAGATGAGATTAACATTTGGATCATCAGACTGAGTAAAGCAGACTGCCTTGCCTTCCCTAAGGTGGGTGGGCCTCATCCAATCTGTTAAAGGCCTGAGTCAAAGAAAAGGCTGACCCTCAGGCCAGTAAAAGGGAGTGAAAAGCATGAACATACTGGAGGGTTTTGAGGAACTTCTAGAAACTAGAACATATGAAATCATAC